TTGACGAAGAAGATGATGATGATAAAAATCTGCAATAGTAAAATTAAATATGTATTAAATACTTATTTAAAGGAATATATTTAATTCTTACCTATTCTCCATCACTAAAAACGTAAACAAACTAATACATAAATGTAATCAATGAAATAACAGAATCGAATTTTATCTAATAAAGTATTATTTGAGGTTATTAAACGTCAAATAAATATTTTATAGTCGAAATTTCGTTAGTTAATTTAAATGTAATTTAATCATCGAATAGCGCTATTTGACGTTGGTGAAACAAAATTGACAATTTTTATTCTACGATTAAAGTTAATCTTTGAATAACACCTTATTTATAGTTGGTGAAACCGGCCATTAATAAATTAAATTTTATATTTAATGAAAATTATATTTAATAATTAAGTCGGAATTTAAAATCCAATAACAAGTTCGTAAAATCGAATAACACAGTTATGGTACATAAGTACCGCATCTCTCCTAAATTTTACGTCACTATCAAAAAGTTATTTGGACATAAAATTTTAATTTTTTTTATGTTTTTTTAAATAAGTAATGTAATCTTCTTAGAAAATTTCAGAAAATATATTAAAATATCCTTTTTTGAGTACGAATATCTCGAAAACTAATCCAACTATATTTGAAAAACATCAAAAGATTTTGGACAGTGGACTAAAATTTAGAAGGGTTGCAGGTGTTACTTGTCCATGCCGTACGCTACTGGCAAAGCTTATTTAACTGATTTTTTGCTGATAGGTGTATTTTATTACACCAATAAAGTTTTCCGAATTTAGTGAAATTAAACAGAAATAAAAAATGTATCTATTAAAAATTTTTGATTTTCAACTTTAACACCCTGTATTTCGGAAACGAGTAATGTTTTATCTACGGGTGTTTCGTTTAATCGACTTATTTGTACTTAGTTAATCTTCAGTTGCTCTGTATCCTATTCTTAATGGAATACCCTGTATATTAGGGTGGAGCGATAAACGCAAAATTTTAAAAATTTTGAAAAATCGATTTAGAATACCTACCAAAAGTTACCTTTCATAATGTTGACAAAAATGTATAAATACAATTTTTTGATCAAATCACGTCTTCTGCCTTCTACCAGCCATTGAAAAATTACAAAAAAAAGACTAAAAAAAAATATTGCTGGAAATATTACTAAAATTTAAGCCATGTGATTTTTAAGATATATTATGTATAATAAAATTAATTTATAACATTTTTCGCCCTATACACAGTGGCATAGCCAGGTGGGGGCCAGTGCGGCCCCTGCTCTCCCGCCCTCTTTGCTCGACGTCCCTTGCCGCTTTATACTCGAAGAACACATTTCTTTAGTTCAAGAGTCGGGCTCTATATTTTTAGGTCACACGGTACCCCTTTTTGGATCGGCTCTAAGCATTCTTTAAAGTATTGTCAACTTCTTAGAAAGTAATGGATATAATCTAGAAGAACTAGTGGCAGTAGGATAAGACGGAACCGTGGTGAATACGGAAAAAAAAGGTGCAATTTCTCAACTAGAATTAAAATTAGGACACCCTTTACAAAGATTTGTCTGCCAGCTTCACGCTAATGAATAACCTTAATGGCATCTTTTTCAGAAGCTGGACGGTCAATCTATGGCTCCAAGAGCTTTTGCAGGAATTATAGGAAAGCAAATAGTGCAGTGCAAAAATATGCCAGTTGTAAACTATAACATTATTGACTGTGAGTTACCAGAAGTAGATTTCCTTGACTTAAGTGCAGGTCAAAAATATCTGTTTGAAATTTGTGTTGCTATTTCTAGAGGGAAGTGCTCCGTGGATTTATTGAACCGAAGCCCAGGAAAGTTAAGTCATTCTCGATGGCTCACTTTGGCCAATCGCATATTACGTCTTTATGTAAGTACCATAAATCAACCTCAGAATAAAAGGAACTGACCAAATGTATTGTCAAGGTTTATAGTCCTTTGTGGTTTCAAATTAAAAAATGCAACTCATCATGTGTAAATGGTGCAAATCATGTGTTACAAACGATAAAACGTAATCGGTACCTAAAGCAAGATTTGAAAAGTGTTATAGACCCTGTAATTCAAAGAAATGCCTATTTTGTTGATCCTGAAAATCTTCCGATATGTATGCTGCATGACACTCGCCCTGATATGAGAGAACTTGCATTTCGTCGCATTCTGAATGCAAAAACTAAGGGCTATAATAGTTCAACCAATGTCAGACCTTTTATTATTCCACAAATTAATTTTGACGCAGATGACTATGTTGATCTGATTGATTGGCAAAAAAAATAAAATAACTTGTCCCCTATTGCTTCAAACTTTAGAAGTGGATGATTTAAAAAATATTATTTCCGGTTCTCCTGAAAAAATCATCGACGTCGCTGCATTTCCCTGTCACACCCAATCAGTAGAGAGATCTGTGAAACTTGTTACAGAAGCATCTTTATCATTTGTTGGGTCACAAAAAAGAGACAGTTTTATTAGAGCAAAAATAGATTCGCGCACACTTATGCCAAAATTTGACTTAAAAAAGACTATAAACAATAAATAATCGAAATGGATGAGGAAGGGTGGGATGGAACTCGTCGAGCAATTACCTCCCCGTAGTGTGTTCTGGGTTGTTTAAACAATACTAAATATTCAATATTTATATTTCGTATATAAATCGGATATTGTTTAAACAAGCTCTATTTGCCGTAGCGTTAACTCTCAGTATCAATATTAATAAAAAAAGAAAAATAAATAAGGCAAAAAATCTAAGTTTTGAAAATGGTTTTGGAATAGTGCGCAAAAGTTGCCAATTGATATTACAAAACTAATGTTTATTTTCGGTTTTTCAAAATTTTGTCATCTTCTGCCCTCTACCGGGCTTTGGATATTTTATTTATTTTTTTTAAGCCCGGTAGAGGGCAGAAGATGAAAAAATTTTGAGAACCCAAAAATAAACATTAGTTTTGTAATACCAATTGGCAACTTCTGCGCTCCACCCTACTGTATATACCGAAAGTTCTTACAGCCAAAGAACCAAATAAGAGAAGAAAACTGTAATAAAAGTGTTTCTATTACCTTATTTACCCACAATACTTTATTTAGTAAAAAAATTATTATCAAAGAATGTAATTTCATTTATATGTACAGTGTGTTTACGTAAGTTGGCGGCATATGGAAATCTTTTTTATGAATTTTAGGAAAACACTTTTCATAAACAGAGTGCATGGTCTAAAACCTAAAATATGATCATCTTTACTATTGAGCAAAATCATATTTTTTGACAAACATCGTATACTACTGATAATATTTAATATCAGATTGTTAAAATTTAAGGTATTAGATCATGAAAAACTTTTCATGAAGAACATTTTCTTCCTTAATAATAATAATAAGTTTTTCCATATGCAGCTAATTTAGCATTGAATTTTTTTTTTTTTTTTAATAATAATAATTTTAGAAAAAAGTTACTTTACATAACAAGTAGAGCATGGTCTAAAATTTCAAATTCAATCATCTTATATCAAATTTTATCAGTCGTATACGGGGTTTGTCGAAAATAAAGGTATTTTATTTTGAGCAAAATCATATTTTTTAACAAACCTTGTAACCGACTAATAAAATTTGATATCCGGTGGTTCTATTTTCAGTAAGACCATGCATACATTTTTATAAAGAATAACTTTTTTTCGTAAAATGAATAATAAAAAAGTTTTCTATAAGCTCTCAACTTACATAGACATACGTGTGTATGCAACTTATGACATATTGCTGATAAATATTTTAGCCTGTATATGTTGGTATTGTTAAATAGGCAAATTTATAAGGAATTGTATGCTAAAATATTATGCCAGGTGTTGCCTTTGAAAAAATTGAGTAAATTGAGTAAATTGAACTTAAAGTAGCCTTAAGACATATTTCAAAACACTGTGTATAGAGGAATCCAGCACTATCACTACTATTCATTATCTCAATGTGCTATAGATCTGTATATTAAACAATTTTGAAATCAATGTTATCCTACCTAAATTATGATAATTTAATTTGGAGTTTGCATCATTCTCTAAATTCATAAAAATTTAATTGTTTGGCCACCCTGTATTATTTGTTTAAAACATTCTAGGGTTGAATAGACTATAACTAAACCATTCTAAAATTAATATAAAATACATGTTTTATTTAGAAAATAAGCCAGGCAAAAATGTAATACCCTGTATATCCAAAAATATTTTTTAAAGCCATATAACTTTCCTACGAATCTTGTTGCGTATCTTTAACACAAATTAAAATATTGAACAATTACGCACTAATGGGATATACACATGGGTATATAAAAATAGCAGTCAATGTGTTAACTCAGAAATAGGATTTCTAATAAAGATAAAATAACATTCAGATAAAGAAAGCAAATCCCGCAAATATTATTACGTGCTTACCATACAGTGATGCCAAGTCATTCATATTCAAATTACATCGGAATCCTTCCCTTTCCTGAATTGCACCCACTTTAACACTTTGACCCCTGGGCAAATATTTTATCTTTTACTACAAACCGAGCTACTTTTTTGTAGCTTTTCCCAAAAAACTGTGCATACGATAGTTAGGGTAGCGGCACCACTTATGGCCACTTTAAGAACTTTTAAATTATTTTTCTATTGGGAAAGGTGTAGGATTCGAAGAAAATCTTTTCGATCAACGCCTTTTGTGCTTTCGAATCTGCTCTATTAGGAGATCAACTGATATTAAAGATTCAATGTAAAATGAAAAATATTATAACGGTTTCTATTTTTACCTACAAAAATCCCCGCTTTTGGCCATTTGTTTCTACATTTGGCCATAAATTTTCCCCAACTTTTGGCAACCCAAAAATTGTTTAAAAATCGAGATACAACTTGATTGGGAATTGCTATATAACTAAATATTTATTGAACTACATAATTCTAAGTAAATCAAAATAACTTTCTGGTAACAAAAATAAGTAATACACATTAAAATACTTTATAAATGGCATTCATATCTGTTCGTAAATGTCTACTTGTCCTGAAAAAATTGTTTTACGCTTTCTGATTTGTTCCTGGACAACAGGCTCGGATAGTTTTGCTAAAATGTCGCCTTTATCTATGCTGCTAACGTCGTTTTCTATAGGATAAAACACAGTCTTCTCTTCATAAGCACTTTTAAAAGATTGTATCTCATACTCTTCTGATGAAAAGATATTTAAAATTTTTGCAACATATCTATACGTTGTCGTTGATCTTTTATCCAATAGTTTAAATGTTACAAGTACAAAATCTCCTAATTGCAGATCATTGGTACCGAACATTTCAATGTTTTCTTGTTCAGGTTCCATAAAGTCAATATCGTCTCCACTGCTACAACTTTCCTCCCAGTCTCCCTGTTCTTCTGAAGAAGATCCCGGTTCTAGGTTTTGTTTTTCAAGTTTTGTTGTCTTTTTTTGGAGTTTTTCGCCTTCTTTTTGTACCTTCATCTGTTTTTTCTGCTCTCTAGCCTGCTTCCTTTCTTGCCTTTGTTGTTCCTTTTCATTTTTAATTCTCTCACTTACTTCATGATACTCCACCCATTTATCAGATGTGACAACACTTGGTATGTATTCTTTTTTCCTCTTTCTCTTGGAGTCCGTTTTCTTTTGTTGAGGATAAGGAAGTACATTGTAAAATACTGCAGAAGGGATAGGTTTGTGTGGAAAAAAAATATTTCGTTTGACTTGTTCTACATCTGAACGAGATATGCCAGCCATCGCAATATTGCTATCATTCGACGTGGTTGGAACTTGGTCGTCAAAGTGGTCAGTGACTTGTTTTACATCTGGACGAGATGTGCCAGCCATCCCAATGTTGCTATCATCCGATGTGGTTGGATCTTGATCGCCTAAATGGTCAGAATTGGAATTTTCGGGAAGCACAGCATTTATCATATTATCATTTACAATAGATGTCTTGGGCGATACATTTTGAAGAGCATTGTTACCAGGTTCAGGATCTTCTCTCGCCAAGTTTGGTAGACTTTCTACATCGTTTGTAATTTGAAACCAAATATTATACAACGATTTATCTTCAATATTACCTTACCATTCGTAGTTTCTTCTTTTTGTTGTCTTAAATTGGTCCAGGAGAACCACATCAATTTTTGATTCCAGATATTGAAGAAAAGCTGCAGCTTCAGGGTCAATATCTCGGGTTTCCAATATGTCGGGATCTCTCAAAATAATTTTGCTGTAGTCCACATCATTTGCTGAAAAAGGATACAGACCTGTGGCTTTAAATCCCGATATTATATTTGATGTCATTTTTGGATCGTTTATCAACTCAGACAGTGCCATGGGCAAAAGTGCTTTAGTAATCTCCTGGCCATTGTTCTCTATTTTATATTTTCGAACAACATTTTTCCACTTTCGTTTTATAGCCGCAAACACAGAGACATCTAACGGCTGGAGGATATGAGTAGCGTTCGGAACCAATGCTATTAATATTATTTGATTTTCTCTGCAAAATTTACTTAAATGAAGGGTAAGATGAGATTTATGTCCATCCAAAAAGACGATAACGGGTAACTCTATTTGAGACTCTTTAAGGTATGGGACAAATACGTTAGAGAAGTACTCATAGAAACATTCTGCAGTCATCCAGCCTTTTTCACTCTTCTCAAGCCCCCAACCTTTAGAAGCTGCCTTACAGACAGCTGATGGAATCCGGTCGTATTTGAAAATAGTAACCGGAGGAGCAAACTTTCCCTCTGCATCAGCTGTGAAAAGCGTAGTAACATTTTCTTTATCTGATGAGGTTCGTTCATCATAGACGTGTTTTCCTCGCGGTCCAATTATAATACCACTTTTTGGTGCTAAAGCGAAACATGTTTCATCCATATTAAAGATCCTTTGCGGATTTTCTAATATACTGGTTGCATCGATATCGCATAAAGTCGTATGAATCTCGTCGAACCATTTACGGATTTTCTCTTCAGTTATTGCGCCTCTACCACCGTGAATGTATTCGGCTTTCTTCTGAGAAAGTTGTTTGTGTCTATTAAGGAAGCTGTAGTACCATTTTTTGCCAGGACGACCATTGACAAAAGGAGTTTGAATATTTGCCTCTCGAACAAGTCTTTGTCTATTGGAAATCCCATCTTCGCACATTTTAATATCTATTCGACTAGGCGGTCTTCAGTCTCTTTTCCCAAGTGAGAATCGAATCCGCAGTGCCTTGAATATCTTGGAGACTTTCCGTATATTTTATTACGCAAAGTAGTTCTCGGTACATTAAAGTTACGACTTGGTGTGGCCACAGCCATTCCCTCAGATATGGCATTTAAAGCAAGATTTACTTTTGTAGGTGAGTACTGAAATTTCGCTTTACTCAACTTTTCTACTCTGCTTTTATGGTTTTTCTTCGGTGCTTTTGACATTTTCACTAAAATAAATAAAATATATTTATCTGAAACATGTTGAATCGGTAGAAAAGTAAACTGGCCAAAAGTGGATTTTGCTTATCTACTTGTGGGCAACTAGTGAATTTTTAGATTCCACTTATGGCCACCCTCTAAAATCTGTCAAAAAACTATTAATTGTAACTAACAATAAAAAATATACAATAAAAACTATCTATTTACCTTATCTATTGCCTCAAATGCAGATAAATTAACATTTAGTACTGGATTCACAAAGATTTTTTCAGAACAATTTCTTAATAAAATTCGTTAGTTTTCTTGACACCTTCAATGCACTGCCACTCAAACTGCTACAATGAAACTAAAGTATGGGTTAGATAAGTTTCTGTCTCTGTCCCCACTTACTATGGTATTATTAGACATTTCAGCAGCTTTAAGCTCATTGGTGGATACACGCTATGCTTATTATTCCACCAATTACAGTAAACTGGCCATAAGTGGGGTAGTGGCCATAAGTGGTGCCTCTACCCTAGTACACAATAAGTATTTACCCACCAACTGTGTGTCTATATGGGCACGAAACATGCATTGATTCTATCTGGTGTGTACACTATACAAACACAACTATATAAAGTTTAAAAATGCTTATAACGGTTGGTTGAGATCGTGGATAAATTCTGGCAAAACAGTTTCGCACGTCGTCAATAGATGGACCAAACTTTAGGTACTTTTATGAAACTATACACATGTGAACACAAGTTGTCAACAAAATTTTTGAAAAAGTCCACACTCGTCAAATGCAGACAAATAAGGCAAGAGAACCTGAAAGAAACCATAAACTTACTGAAGAAAACAAGATAGGAAGGTGCATTAAGTGCTACAAAACACGAAAGAACTAGAAGATAATAATGAAGTATTCTGAGAGAGTATGTACATCATGCCAGGCATGTAGAGAGAAGTTCTAATGCAATAACTGTTTTTTTTTCTGTTGCACACAATATTGTTGGTATATGTAGTTTTTAGAGAATGAATTTTGTAAAAAACCATGTTTACCATTTTTTGACACAACGTCTTTAACATGTTTTTTGGAAAATTATACATTTTTGTAATATAGTACGGTTTGTAACTATTCAAATAAAACAAATTTACTAATAAAAATCTGATGTGTCCAACACATGACTTTCCTATCTAGGTATTACAGGCTTTTTCCGGTTATTTTGTACAACCTATTGCAGCATCTCTATAAATGTTTAGAGGATAAACTAAATATATACATTGTCCACACACATCTACCGCGAAACATTTTTCTATAGATATTCATTGAAAATGAAAATACTGAAAAATTTAAATTTAGCACTTTTCCTACAATTTTTCCATTACGGTCCATTTAAAAAAAATCATGTTTAAACAAATATTATAGAGATCGATATCGCAAACAACTTTTATTTCAACAATTTTCATAAAAATCAGAATTTTGCACATTTTGTCAAATTTTTCGAATACGGACCATTTCAGGAAATTTTTACATAAAGCAAAAATTATAGATAATAATATTAGAAGTAACTTTTATTTGAACAATTTTCTTCTCCAAACATAAATAACAGATATATTCCATAAAATATATAAACGGCCTCCCATAAAGTACCCCCCCAGATGTTCCGACTTTGTCCAAAATCTAATAATTTCACGTCAGGCCGAAATAAAACTTAAGTTTAAAATTTATTGATTTTTTCTTTATCCGTTTTTGAGTTTTCTTCAAATTTCGAAATTTACACATTTTCTCAAATATCTCGAATACGGTCCATTTTAGAGAAATTATCTATAGGATAAAAATTATAGAGAATTATATTACAAACAACTTTTGTTTGAACAATTTTTATAAAAAAAAATATTTTTTTACATTTTGTCAAATTTCGCGAATACGGACCATTTTAGGAAAATTTTGTATATAACAAAAATTATAGATAATAAAATAAGAAGTAACTTTCATTCAAAGAATTTTCTTCCCCAAACGTAAATAACAGATATATTGCATAAAATATAAAAATGACCACCTATAAAGTACCCCCCCAGATGTTCCGACTCTGCCCAAAATCTAATCTGCTCATTAGACGTTGGAACAAAGCTTAAGTTTGAAATTTGGTGTTTTTCCGTGTATCGGTTCATGAGTTATGCGTTATACAGACACACACACACACACACACACACACACACACACACACACACACACAGACACACACACACACACACACAGACATCATCGCGAAAATAGTCAAAACGGATTCAGGGGACCTCAAAACGTAAATATCCGTCGAAAACTCGAGGTCGAAAAAAATCATGATTCCTATACTTTCCTTATATCTGTATACAGATAGAAAAGTAAAAAAGCCGCTGTTTCTGGCAATAATTTATAAAATATCTGTCAGGTTTTAATAAATAATATTTTGTGACCATAAATTGTAAACACAGTTCATGGTAACAATTTGCTGTGTACCACTTCTGGCACACAAAGTAGTTAAAGTTTTAAAATTAAATTCGTCCGAATTACCAATGTTTTGCGGAGAAGTCTTAATCCAATTATTGAAAGAATTGAGAAATTTTCATATAGAACGATAATTATTGTACATCTGGCAACGTGGCCAACACTTGTATTATACACAGGGAAAATAAATCAATAATTTTTTTGGCTAACTGGAACGACGCGAGACAAATATATGAAAATCACGAAACCATGAAGGGCAGCATACAGCTGTATCACTGATTCAAAAATAGGTATCTCTAAATAATAATTCACCTACTAAAAGCGTCTCTGAAACTGAGTGGCTAGTGGCTACATTGTTTTTATATGGTGAAATTTTCTTAAAAATAGATGTATTACACAATTACAGGTATTTATAGAAAATCTCCAGTTTGACAGATACATTTCTCAAATATTTGTTAATCGTATTTCCGCTTACATCTGAAAAATACCCAATACAATTTTGAAATATTTTGACGGGATACTTGGAAAAATATGTAGAATGAAATCTCCTACTTTTTAGCTCTAGTATTAAAATCACTTTTTGTGATTTTTTTGTAAAAAAACAGGACAAATAGAAAATAGGAGATTTTATACTGCAAAACTTATACTTTAAGCTGCTAGTAGATTTATTTTAATACATTTAGGGGAATTTAAATGCAATCGGAAATGCAGTGAAACTGCAGCCCTAATGACGATTATTCGAACATTAAAGAATGTATTCTTTGACTACACTACCGCTCCGCATCTTGAATATATTAGAAAAAGCGGTACGTGACGTTGGACTTGGTATAAATAGCGAGACTTATCGGCGGACGGGCAGTTTTGAATAAAGTGTTGAAAAGAAAAGTTGAATTGCAATAAATAAATTAGAATTGTGATTTAGTGCCTAAGTATTATATAAATTAATTAGTACATCATAAATAAATTGTAAATAGTGTGTATTAAATAAATAAACTATAAATTAACTTATCGTCACACTATATTTTTAAGTGAAAATAATAAAAACACAA